GTGCCCTGCTCTCCAAGCAGCAGAAGAAAAAGAAAAAAAAGAAGACATTATTAGTTGAAATAAAAGATGAAGGCAATAAAGAAAATGTTAATGATGTCAAAGAGTTCTATAGCATTTATTATATTTACTCAAGAGGAAGATGGAAATTTTCCCCTATGAAATTGGCTTCCTTCACCAAGTTCTAGACACCAAGCTAGGTAAGTTATCCCGTCCAACCCTCCCAACAGCTCTATGAGGCAGCTAGGGAGCAAATCCCACTTCTACTATTTATTCATTCAACACCAATTTATTGAATATCAGCTATATGTCAGGAACTGTGCCAGCATAAGGCAGAGAAACAGATTCCAGTCACCATACTAGCCATAGGCCACTGTGAAAGTTAATTCATCTCTTAAAGCCTAAACACCCTCATCTCTAAAATGGGAAGAAGAGTGCCCACCTGACAGGGTGTCTGTGATGATTAAATGAGATAATGGGTGTAAACCGCCTCGTACCGTGCTTGGCCTGAGACAGGGCTCAACAAATGTTAGCTACCTTCTTTCCAGAAGGGAAGTTCTAGTTAAACATGGTAGAGTGACCATATGGGCATATTTCCCTTTCTGCCTCACACTAACTAATATGACATAAAGGTGTGTGTGGGGGGTGGGGAGTCTCAACCTAGCAAGACAAAGACATTGGGGGAAGTACCATCTTCCAGCCAGATGGTCACCATCTAGTGGCCACAGAGGACAACTGCAAGGTAACCTGTTTTCCATGTGGGAGGAGATGGCCAGAGAAAGATTATTTCTATTGTAGATTTCAGGATTCCAGAGCCAGGAAGGATGAACCTTGGTTTTTTCCTTCAAGGTATGTTGGTGACCCCACCTCACTGAGTTGTTATGAGAATCAAATGAAATAAAAGCTGGGAAAGAATTTTGTAAGCTGTTAAGATGCATCACATGTATCTGATGGGTAGTTATTTTCAATGGTAAGCAGCTCGACAGTGACCAGAGGAAAAATTAACCACCCTGGGCTGTAGTACATGCAGGCCAGAAGACTGTAAGGAGCGCGCCTTGCTCTACCTGTGCGTTCCTGAGCTAAGTGGACAGTGCCATGCATGCATCTCCCAAGCTCGGAACTTGGTGCCTAAGTAGATATGAAGAGGAGGGAGGAGTGAAAACACTCCCCACTTTCTTCTGCCAATCCACTCCCTACCTCCACCTAGTCAGTTCCCCTCTTCTAGCCACTGCCTCACTCAGGCTCTCCTCTGTACCACCTCAGCAGCCTCCGACAGGGGTGCTGCTTCCAGCACCCTCCCATTCTGAGTCATCCACCATCACATCTTCTCAGGATATTGCTTAAAACCCTTTGAGGGCTCCGTACTGTTGGCTTCATGGACTAGAGTCCAAGGTACTGGTGTGGCACTCAAGACCCTTCAAAATCTGATCTTCCCAGTCCTCATTTCCTGTAACTTCCCAGTATTATCTTTCATTTACATGAAACAATTGTCCAGGTTGTTTGCACATGTTGTTCTCTGTCTAAAAGGCCCTTCCCTGCCTCATTCACCTACTAAAGGCTTTTAAAACCAACTGTCAACACCGTTTTCTCTTGTGAAGCGTTCCCTGATTTACCAGTTAATTACTTCTCTTCCATGCTTCCACCATAGCTTGCTCACATGTCTACTATTCTATCTAACCACACAGTATTCTATAAATTTTGGATTATATATTTTTCTGTATCATCAGTGTCATAAGGTGTGTTTTAGATGGCATTCAAAAAGACATGAAAGTCATACATACACAGCTATAAGAAATACAGAGTATCGACGGCCATAAACAGAAAACTTCAGTCTCCCTTCCCAGGCCTGTGTCTCAGGATAACCCCAATTAAGTTTCTTACCAATCTGTCCAGAAGTTTATAATTTAAAATTTAAAGCATATGTATGTACTTTAAAAAAACGTAAGTAGGATTTAATATAATTACAGTTCTGTATCTTCTTATTTTTCTTTACCTAAAATTGTATCAGAGATAATTTCACATTGGTGCATAGTAATCTATTCATGTATTAGTTGTCTTGTATGTCATTGAATAAATGTAGCATAATTTATTTAATCAGTCCCCAAATTGATGGCATTTACCTTGTTACCTGTTTTTTGCTTTTAGCAACAATGTTCCAGTGCACATTTGTGCACACTTACCTTTGCATGCTTATGCAGTACAGCTGTGGGGTCGGTAGTCCCATTGCTGATTCAATGAACAGTCCAATTTACAATTCCACCAACAGTGCAGGAATGTGCCTGCTTTATCACCTCCTACATTTCTCCAATATATTTGTTGCATAAACAACTGAGTGGCCTCTAGAGTAATTATAGATATTTACCATTTCTTTGGCAAAATGAAAAACTGGTAAAATTATAGCCATTTTTAAAAATAATGTAGATGGGGGTTTGGGAGACATCAGCATGAAATAGGTAATTCAGAGCCACAGTGATAAGCCACGCTCTGTTTCAGGAAGTGGCTGAGGTTAGAGGTGAGGAAACTGACTACCTGCAACGTGTGTTCTATCAGCAAGACCCCCATGATGCCACTGATTCATAAAACACTGTACACACTCGTACTGCACCTGTCAGCTCACTATCTCATTTGACCTTCATATTCATCCTGCATTGAAGACAGAGCAAGAACCATAATCTCATTTTACAGAAGAAACTGAGACACAGAGAGGCAATGCAGCATGCCTAAGATCCCAGTGAAGTGACAGAGATCACATGGCTAGTGAGTGGGGGAGCCAGGACTTGAGCCCAGACTAGTGACTTTAAATCTACCTCATTGCTCTGGGCTCAAGGAGGAGAATGTACATATGTTCAAGGCATACGTACAAATAGCAAGGTTTATGGTATCAAACTTCATTAAGTTAAAAACAGAGAACTTCTCATGTTTTTAATACAAAAATCATACTCATTCACTGCAGGGAATTTCGAAAATATAAATGAAATACAAAAATCATCATAATTCCGCCACCCAGAAATAATCATTGCTAAAATATTGGTGCATTTCATTTGTGCCACTGTATTATATAGATTTTTCTCCTTGTTTTAGAGATAGGAATAATGCTGAAAGAGGGCGCGATCAGACAATGGCAGAAAGAAAAGGGGATAGGGAGGAAAATGAAGATAGCGAGGAGGGAAGCAAAAACAAAACAAAACATTACATTAAAAATGATAAATCTTGGCCAAATGGTATCGAGTCTCAATGTAGGGGAGTGCCAAAAAGGAAAGAACATGTTGCTTTGCAATTTGCTTTTCTTTGACGACGCAGAGAACATACTTCTGGGCCCAGAACGTGCTAATTAATTAGGCTAGTTACGGCTCTTGCATCATCTTCATGCTTCCTGCGTTCCCTTGTTCTTCCAGCCACAAGTGCTCAGTGTACTCCCACCCTGCCCAGGTACCCTGTCCCCACTGTACACAAGAAGTGCCAGCTCCCCAACCTCTTCCCCACTCTCTGCCCTCTCTCTGGGTTCAGCTGGCTGCTGTCGGAGCTAATGCAAGTCTCTCACCTCACGGGGGCCAATGGATCTGGCTTCTTCTTCTCCAAGCATGGCGGTATAGTAGGCGAGATTCTGGTTCATCACCTCATCATTGGGGAAGAAGAGGAGATATGTCTTGGCACATTCAATAGCCTGTGTATAATTTCCAACTGCAAAGTGAAAAAATAAAATAAAATAACTGAGAAGAAAGTGTCTAATCCTGGGTACCAGGAACCACTAGTGTTTAGTTCCAGCTTGAAGCAGTGATGACATGACAAGGTGGCCCACCTGCATAACACAACTTCCTGATTTGCAGGGAAAAGTTATAGAAGAATAAGATGAACAAAAGTTATATAAACATAGAATATAGAATCAATTTTAATGTCCTCAGGGCTGCCTAATATTGAAACAGAAAGAATTAGAACTCTTTGTATGCCAACATATTCAAAAATTCACAAGTAATTCAAACACTGGCCTCAACATTAGGTCAATTTCAGGAATATTCTCATTTTCCTACGTTCTTTTCCGTATGGATTTTCAGAAGAAGGGAGAAGGTTACAATAGCAGATATTCTCTTTGTTGACAGGTGTTAGTCTCAACTGTAAGCATCATATACTCTTGAACATACTGTAATGCTTAGCACACAGTAGAAACTCAGTAAAAACCTGCTGGATATTGATAGACCCTCCTGAGAACATCATTGCTGTACATGGGGAAAGGGCTGGAAAATGGCCTGTGAACTATTTTAAAAGTTAGTACACCCTTGCCTTTGCTGTGACTTAATTCAGATGCAAAATTAGATTATAAGGAACAAGAGAGAGAGGTCCTAGAGTTTCCCTCTCCCAGTTTTTGGGGCTGCTGGTATCTGCTTTCTTGGCCAGTGGCTTGTGACAAAGCCCCAGGGATCATGTGGCATGGTGCCTACCAGAGCCACAGAGAGAAGGCAAATATGTTAAAGAAAAACAGTAACCATAATCCCTGCCTATCTTGCTTTTGGCTTCTTACTTAAAACAGCAGACAAAGACGAAAGTCGGCCTTACTGTTATAGTAGGCAAACTGCAGATAATTATAATGCGATGGCAGGAAGTCTTCAAAGGGCTTCTCTCGACTTGGGTGGGAAGCCAGCTCGGTGACACAGTTCTGCTTACAGCTGAGGACCTGGATGTAATGATCTGAAAGGAATCAGAGAGAGAGAATAACCACAAGGATTCAAATTCTGGTTAAGTGTAAGCAATTTTTAGTCAGAGTCCCAGATTTAAGAAATTTAGAAATGAAGCTGAAGATACTATGTATGTATTATTACAACACTGCCCTTAGAGCCCAAGCAGGCCTGACCAATGGGCAGGCCTTGAGCCGTGCACCTGTGATGGCCTGGAAGAGGTCGGCGTTGTATTCAAGGTAGTTGTAGCCATCATAGTCATAGGGTCCTTCGCAGAGGGCACGGCACTCCTCATCCGCCACAAAGTACTCTTGCAGCGCTGTCTCTAGGTGGGGTATGGCTTCCTGTGGCTGCTCCTCTGAGTAGAGTCGCACTCCCAGTCGAAACTCGTCCTACTGGGAGGAAGGAGTACTCAAACGCAGGCCATGGACAACCCTCTCTTCCTTGTCACCCACTACTTTCACAGGAGTCCTCATTTCCTGCTTATCTCAGGTTATGAATGGAAGGGGTGGCTGCTACATAATGAAGGCCTTGTTTAACGGTCTTTACTTGTTTCTTTTGAAATTTAAAAACATTGAACTAAATCTAGAAGAAAGATATATGAGAGTTCAGTGTAATTTGCTTGTATTTTCTGTAGGGCTAAAAGTTTAATAAAAAATTTTAACTTTTAAATGTTAGAATGTGGTCTGTGGTGATGAAAGCAGTCTTTCCAGCTGCTTTCAGCTGGATGATTTGGGCTGTTGCATGAAGCTGATTACATACTTTGGTTGTGCTATCTGTGAGACACAGCTCCCATTCTCATGGACAATAACCATTTTCCTTTGTCACAGAATCACTAAAAAAAACCCCTAAACTATGTGTAGTTGTATAATGTACTAGATGTACATAATTTACTTTTAAAAGTCATTCTGATATTGTTTCTAATACCTCTATTTCTAAACTATTAAAACTTAAGAGAATATTAGCTCTTTATAAAAATGCTATATTATCACAGACAACATCTCTTATAGAATCCATTCTTTTCCTCCTAAATAAATACAATAAACACATTGAAGAACAGTGTAGCACTTATTATAGTGAAAAGCAGAACCTACATGACCAAAAAAAATGTGACTAATAATATGATCTATGTATAAGATGGACTATCATGCAGGCTTTAAAAATTATGTTTTGAAAGAAAGTCTAAAGACATGAGAAAAGGCTCATGATATAGTGTTAACTCAAAAAGGATGATGAAAAATATGTAGACAATATGACAGCAAATTAGGTTAAAAAATTATATACAGAAAACTTACAAAGTAGGTCAGAATATCAACTACCAGTTTTCTTAAGGTGGCGGCATTATAGATGATGACTTTCTGTTTTATATTTATCTACATTTTTCTAATGTTGTATAATGAACATGCAATACTTCTGTAATCAGAAAACAACCCCAGTAAACATCACTCTAATAAAAAGAAAGAGAGGAAGGGATAAAGTTTTTTCACCATATGGGGTTTGGCCTCAAGATCCTTGAAGTCAGCCTCCTTCACCCCAGACATGGTCTGGTAATAGTCTAGGTTCTGACGCATCTCCATATGCTCGGGATTGCCCACGAAAAAGGTGTGTGCCGCTGCTACAGCTTTCTCCAACTTGTTTATCTAAGAATGAAGCACAAGAACATGATGCACATCCAAAGCCTGAAGATGATGCACATCCTGCATAAAGTGTTTTCAGTCTGAATGTGCAGTCCACAGTAAACAGGAAATCTCAGCCTTCCTGAGCCTTCTACTCAGCATGCCCCAGCCCCTGCCTGCCCCAGAAAACACACCTATGGCAGGAACTACATAGCAGAGATAAGGAGCACAGGGCCCTAGGCAGATTTTCAGCTACTTCCCAAATCGGGCCTACGGGTCCCCCAAATTACAAGAGGTAATGCTTCAACAGTGTAAACATTCTATTTTAAAACACAAGTCATATTGTAGGGAGAATGCTATGGAAGACTAACTGCCCAAATAATATATTCTCTAGATTCAAATGTACCAACTGAATTGAAGAAAGGTCTAAGGCTTCAAAAATTTAGGGGTAGCGAGAAAAGAGCACTTAACAATTAGATCATGCCTAAGAATTTGCCTAGAATTTTTTTTTTTTTTTTTTGCATAAAGTGTTTTCAACACATTCGAGGAAAAGATGGGTGGCTGAAAAATCCTAAGATCATATACAAAATCCAGACATGGCATCTTCTGACTCCAAGTCCAGGGCTCATGAAGTTAAAACAAGTGGTTATAAAGAATTCTGAGGGGAAAAAATTCACGACAGGCCACAATAATGTACATAGAAATGGATTTCAGCGTATCAAAGTTACACAGGATCAAAGGTAGAATCCAAAATAAATCACTGATGATCTAATGATTAACTACATAGGCTTTGGTGTCAGATGGATTAGTGACAAATCTAGGATTAATTCCTCACTTGCTGGGGCTTTAGACAAGTTAAAGTTTAGTCTCTAAATTCAGTTCCCTAATCTGTCATCTAGAGATAGCACTTACTACCTCATAGCATTGTTGGGAAGGTTAGATAAACTAACATATATGCATCTTTTAATACATGGTGCTAGGTGCATATTAAGTATTCAATAAATGTAAATCTTAGCATATTATTAATATGCTTTAATTTTTTCTTTTTGATCATCGGTACTAGTAAATGCACACTAAACAAGGACCCAGCCCTGGGTGTGACCCTAAAATAGCTAAGTGACCCAAGGTCAATAATCCTCATCTCTGTATCTCAGTTTCCTTAACTGTAAAATCAGGAATTCTCTCAAGTCTATCCCTTTCATGGATTTATTCTCTCTCCCATCTTTCAGCATTGCTCTTGCCTTTCTCTTTTCTCCTCCTACTCCTCACTCCATCCTTGTTTACTCCCTGAGAACTGAGGCACCTATTTTCCTTCTAATGTGAACAACCGCACTCCTCTTCTAATGGTTCACACTGCCACCACTTCTTCCAAGGATTATTCCATATTCCACATGGCTTCCAGAATTAGCATTCTGAAACCCAATTCTGATGATGGCTCCCTGACGCCTGCAGAATTCTCTTCCCAGTCTGGCCTCACTCTATCTGGAATGGCTGTCCTTGCTCTCCTCTAGCAATACTTAGGATCAGCTTCAAATGTCACCTCTTCTCTCTGATTTCTCTGAGACAAAGCTACATTCTCCCTCCTTTGTGCTTCCACAGCCCTATGTACACACCCTTTTAGTAGCCCTCACTATAGTGATTCTTAACAGCAAAGCGAGATAGACAAAAAAAGAGTCAAGCATTTTAATTACCTGTACAAGAACTGGAATGCAATACGTATTCAATATTTGTTTGCCAAAGAATTTTTTAAAGTGCTGTTAAGTGGCATGACCAAAGACATAGCCCAATTATTTTGGTTTCAAGTCTGAGTAACAAGGAGGAATGGAACAGGACTGTGTACACAAAATGATTTTGTAGAGGTGGAAATCAGGTCTCCACAATTTTCTAAGGTTGAATTGAATATCTATCAAACTATGGATATAATAGATATGCAGCACAGCCAGCACCTACCTTACAGGATATTGCCAAGATCTGGGCAAATGAATTAATAAACAGAAAGTACTTAAAATAGTGCCTGAAAGTATGCGCTGGCTATCATCATTATCATCATCAAACAAACCAGGAGTACTCCAAAACCATGTATGCACTTGGACTTAAGGCACTCTGGAATTCCTAAAATTACTCATTTTCTTTGGAAACCTGACAGACCAGCCAGAGGGTCCCCCACAGGGAGGAGCCAGACAGCCCCTACTGGCGACGTGGCAACCTCACTTCTTGGAAAAAAAGCTGCAGCACTCGGGCTGCAGGAAAAGCATCACCGAAAAACGAACCGGAAGGAAGACAGTGTAGAAAGGTCTTAGCGTACAATGAAGTCAGGATGAGAGACCCAAGCTGCCGCTTTAGTTCCCTGTAGGAGGTCTCCCGGGAAAACACCAAGCCAAGTTTGCCTTGGTGAGTGCCTTAACCCCAAGTTGGAACTTTTGGGGTCACCACTGATTAGGCGAGCCCGGCGAGGCAGTTTTCCCGGCAGAGTCCTTGCTCTCCCCTTGTCCTAGGAGACCTCCTCGGCCAGGAGGCCACTCTCTCTCTCCGCGGACACTTCCTGGCCCCTGACCCCCCAGATCGCCTGCAACCACGCCAAGAAGGACCCCAGCCGCTCGCGCCCGAATAGATCTGCACCTTGAAGTAGGCGACCTGCAGGTAGTTGTAGGGGCTCCGCTTGTGGAACTCCAACTCTAGTTCCTCGCTGAGCGAGTGGGCGGCTGGCGGCCCCAGGCAGCGGCGCAGGCAGGAGGCGCGGCGCAGCAGGCCTCCGAAGAAGTGCAGGTCTTGCAAGGCAGCGGCGCCCGAGGCCTGTGTCAGGCTCGGGGGCGAGTCGGGGTCCAGCTCCCATGGGAAGTCTGCGGCACACCGGGTGCGGCAGCGCAGGCGAAGGGCGCGCAGGGCGGCCCGCGAGCGCAGCGCGCGCTCCATGCTCAGTACCACTCCCGGCCAGTCCCCGCGCGCGTAGGCCGCGGTCCCCTCGGCGAAGAGCAGATCAGGCGCCGACATGTCCCACCCAGCCTCAGACTCGACCTGGGCTCGGGAGGCAGTGGCGATGACAGCCAGTAGTGTGGTCAGCAGCCCCAAGGCGTGTGCCGCCATCGCCTCCTCAGACCTAACCGTATCGCTCTCCACCGCCACGGAGACCGGAGACCCACCCCCGGGAAGCCTCGCCCCTGATCTAAGCCCCGCCCCAAATTGGGCGGTGCATGACTCCGCCCCTCAATGGAACCTTGAGCGTCAGCCGCAGCCCCGCCTCCGAATTCTGCAGCTCTGACGCCTAATAGGAGGGAACACGGAAGCTCCGCCTACGGACCTTTTGCGCATGCTCTTCCGCCGGGTGGGGAGACATTGAGGTACTGTCATGGAGGACGCTGCGACTCCCGGGCAGTCTGAGGAGGTCCCTGAAAACCAAGTTCAGTCGGCGACAGATCGGGGAGGTACGCGGGGCGGGAGTCAGAAGGGGGAAAGAGGCCCCCATGGAGCAGCTAGTCTTCCGGGCTCCCCGGGAGACCAGGGGCGGGCGCTCATGGCCTGTGTTCCTGGGTGTGTGTCGCAGGAGCCCTGGTGGAGCTTACCCCGACCCCCGGCGGCCTGGCCCTAGTGAGCCCCTATCACACCCACCGGGCTGGGGACCCCTTAGACCTCGTGGCGCTCGCAGAGCAGGTGCAGAAGGTGAGGAGGCGCGGCTGGGGAAGTAAATAACCATCTTCGTTCCCGTTTGGCCCTGCGTCTTACGGCTTGGATCTCATAGCCACTTAGTGTGGGGTAGCATTTGTTCTTGTCTCCATTTCACACCCGGGATTGTTATTGCGAGTCAGAGGCCTGAGTCAAACTCTGATCTAAGACCAAAGGCTCCTTTAACTGCAACTTGAGTGTCCATAATCTCCATTCGTGGGAAGGTTTGCACAGCATTTGCAATATTCATTGTTTTATTTGGGCCTTACCACAGTCCTGTGAGGTAGGCAGCACAGAAGTTATTCTTATATGAGACGTGAAGAGAAGTTTCTGGGGAAGTTTCAAGATCACGCTAACGCAAATTCCGCTGGGATGCATAGTGCACTTAAAATTGCTTCCTATAAGATCTTTATCTGGGACCCGAGAGCTTTTAGAACTTGACATCTTCTAGAAGGGCAAGGACTCTAACTTTGTTCTCTGTCCTCGGTCATTGGACACAATATTGGACAAGCCCAGTGCTTAGATATTGATTGCTAAAAGAAGTAAAATAAAGAGGAAATGTGAAATAGAAGCACTGGAATTTGGACACATGAGTTTTCATCCCATTTTTGATATTAACTTGCTCTGTGATGTGAGGAAAATGACTTTTCTCTGGACCTCAACTTCTTTATAAAATGAAGGGTTTGAACTAGGAGACCTAGATCTAAAGCTCTGAAAAACCAAATTTCATCTAATTTCTTACCAAGACTTGTGGTTGTAGACCCCTCTTCAGTTTGTACTCATAGGGCCCTGCTGCTTTAAAGCTCATGATATTCCTCATCCTTGTATACACTGTCACATTTGGCCTTTGTTATGTTCAAAGGTCTTTGTTTCGCCCAAAAATACTTAATAATTAATGTCCTCATATACATCACTGTACTTCAGTTTTTAACTAAATATTGAAGTGCTTTGGAAAGCTCCTTTGATTCAAACCTTGTGCCTTTTCTAGAGAGTTGGGGTGCAAAGTATAACTTTTATGGATTAGGAGAATGTCATGTGTCTGTTTAATCAGATCACTCTTATTGGGAGGGAGGGTTCTAGGACCAAATTTTAAGCAAACATTTTCATGGATTATTGAGTAGCCATCATATTTATTACAATAGCCTGAAACAATAGAAGGAACACAGTTTTTGTTCATTCAGCCTATTGTCTAGTGAAATATAGAGGACTCGTTATTGTGCTGTATCCATTTTTCCAATATTATCAGTCTTTGAAGCTAAAAGTAAAAACTCTAGAGACAAATTGAATCAAGCATGTCTACTACCCTTTGTGTACTAAATTGTACTTTCTAGCAGGACTGACTTCTGAGCATGCCTTACAGTATAGTAGCCACTAGCTCCACAATGGCTGTTGAGCACTTGGAATGTATAGTTAGATCAACTGAGAAACTGAATTTTAAATTTTATATAATGCTGACTTAAATTTTAAAACCTAATAATTTAATTATTGGAAACTTTTAAGTATATTTAGAACAATTTATGTTGGATATACTCTTTCAACCCTAAATTTTATGAAGTCTAAATACACATCATGTATTTCCAATGAAAATTTAGCATCCAAATTGACAGATGCTGTGAGTATAAAATATACACTTAATGTGAGATATCACATGAATGACTTTAAAAATATTAATTACATGTTGAAATGGTTATTTTTTGATATATTGGGTTGAATAACAAATTATAGAATTAAATTAACTTATTTACTTCTACTTTTAACATGGCTACAAGAAAATTTTAAATTACATATGTAACTTGCTTCATCTTCTAAAGGACAGTTGCATTAGACTGTAATCTTGATGGTGGTAGGCACCTCTCTCTCCTGTTTGCCAATGTATCCAGTTAGTGTCTAGCATGTTGTCTGACACATACTAGTTGCTAAATATATATTTGTGGAACGGATAAGTGATTGACTCAACTTAATTATTTCTTTTCACTCATAACACTGGCTTATACTTGACTTTTACCTTAAGCTTCTTCAACTAACCAGAAAATTCTCTTAATATTTCTCAGTTTAAGTTCAAGTTTAACCTTCTAATTTCTTTTCCTTAACTTAATGGTATACCACTGGAAGTTAATCAGCTTTTCTCAAAAGTAAGCAGAATTTTTTGACAAATTTCTGATGCCTGAGTGATAATCCTTCCCAATACATAAATTAGACACACCGTGCTCTCCTAGCTTTGAAAATTATTATATTTATTTTAAGCAATTTCCATTGCCCTCAGTTGCATTTTCTAGCACAGGACATGCAGTCCTATGTGTACATTGTAACCTTGTTTCAGGTCTGCATCATAGCGCAGTCTTTTAAAATACATTGTAAGTATCAATTAGAAATATAAATATAGGTTAAAATATAACTAGGTGTGATGTAAATAATTCAACTGAGGTAATGCTTTCTATACATAGCTAGATTCCTATATAGCAGGCAATAAGAGCCATATCATTTGGATTCTTATAAGACCCAGCCCTGATTTCAGAAATGTTTAAACATGAGAAAATAAATGGAGACCTGAGGAATAATTGGTGTGTCAGGCAAAGAGCAAGGGGGAAAATGTATTAGAAGGAGGAGAGAGCATATTGAATGTGTTTGGTAGCAAGAGAGAACAGGGAATGTTGGAGAACTGAAGAAATTCATTGTGACCTGAGTGAAAAAGGTAGAAGGCTATGGGAAGTAGAAAAGAAGGAGCGCTTAGTTCTGCGGTGTAAGGTCATGTCAGAATTGGCTTCTCATGAGCAGTGCTGTTTATGAGGTGGGCTTTGAGATGAATGGGAGTTCATGGAATGGTGAGGATAGAAAGAATGTTTTAGGCATAATTAATGTTGTTGACATAACTCTTCACATTGGGGTCTATATAAGAACATCATAGAAGTCTGATACTTTTACAACCCACAGTTTAGTTTTCTCTCACCTTTAGGCTGATGAATTTGTCCGAGCAAATGCCACCAACAAACTGACAGTGATAGCTGAGCAAATCCAACATTTGCAAGAACAAGCCAGGAAGGTAAGTAATGGCTTTTAGACAGGCTTTCATTTTCTTGTTTTATTTCACCGGATTAATTGAACTTGCTTTAATTATTGTAGTTTGTCTTCTGTACCTCCTAGAAATATAGAGGTATTGAGTGAAATAGAATAAGCCCAAGAGGTTAAGTATAAGATACATTTTTTCACTAGGAGAAAGTTCAAAGAAGTAAAGCATTTTGAGGGAAAAATATGTTTTCAGTTACAAAAGACATGTACTTACTACAGAAAAATAGAGAAACTTAAAACCCACTCAATACCAATAATACTTAACATTTTGAAATATAATTCTTCTAAAAGAATTTTTGCAGCATAGTAAAATTACAGTCTAATTTTTGTTTCTTCAGAATCATGTGGATCACAGTAGTGATTCATTGCTATGGGGGGAGCAAGATTATAAACATTGAACATTTGTGATGATCACTGAATATGAGTGCCTGTTATCTCCAGTACACAATTCGTTACCTCTCTGTGGTGCTTAGGTATTGGAAGATGCTCGCAGAGATGCTGACTTGCACCGCGTAGCTTGTAATATAGTGAAAAAGCCTGGCAACATTTACTACCTTTATAAACGGGAAAGTGGTCAGCAGTATTTTTCCATTATTTCTCCAAAGGTAAGAACATTTATTTTTTTTTGTACAAAAATCTACTCTAGTCTTTGAGAAATTCTTGGCGTGTGGGTGAAAATGTAGGCATTGGGGTTGGTAAATGGTTTCTGAGGAAATACTTTAGGTGGTATGAGCCTAGTCATGACTCTAAAAAATAAACGTGCTTAAATCATTCACAGCCATTATCTCTGTTAAGGGAGGAATTTGATGTGTAATGTAATGCTTTTCAAGGATGATTCCAAATGGTCTAAAATGAAAAGCTAAAAAAAAAAAGTATCATAAGTCATAATTAGGAAATGTTTCTTTATGTCCTACCCTGATCAGAACTTTTTTGCCCTCTCTAGGAATGGGGGACAAGTTGTCCACATGACTTTCTTGGTGCCTACAAGCTACAGCATGACTTCTCCTGGACTTCATATGAAGACATTGAGAAGCAAGATGCTAAAATCAGCATAGTGGACAAGTTGCTAAGCCAGCCAGTGGCCCTGCCTCCAAGTCCTGAACCCAACTTCCAGGGACTGACTCACTGAGAGTGGACTCTGACAAACAGCTCTCACGGCAAGGACCTGTCATCTCCTTGTTGCCCCCATTCTCTGCCTTGATGAGAGGTGGCATGAGAACTGAGGACATGTAGGTGAATCATGAACTTTTTGGAAGGACACCCTGTGTGATTGTAATTCTGTCATTATTACTTTTAGTGGGGATGGTAATGAATCACATCAGGCTTTTTTTTGGATCCTCTCTGGATCACAGATACCCAACCAGTCAGTTTCAGCATACTGGCCAGTGTACTTCTCCTTTACCTCCATCTGTTCTCTCTATAAGTCAGAGTATTAGAGAAAGAAGCATTTCTTCCCACAAATGGTTGGCGAGGGTTTTCAGAAAGGACTGTTTTTAGTTTTCTTCTATAATTTGTCTTTAAGATTGGGTTTAGGCTACAGTTGATGCAACTCCAGCTTCAAATTCATCTGGGAACAAGAAAGGGATAGTGGAGGATGATAAACAACTTGGCTTGGCTGCATTAAAGAAAGTGTGATTCTGGTATATCTACACTACTGGTGAGGTTTGGCTTGACCCTTCTGTTCTTTCTGCCTTGCTGGAGTGACTAGAGAATCTGAAGCAGCAGTAATACCCAGGTTTGGGTAGGGTCAGCCTCTAAACTCAGAATTTTAGGCTTGGAAGGGAGATTGGAGGCTGCCACTAACCATTACATGAATCCACTCTATAGCTTCACTGAGGAGGAGATTCAGAGTTCAGCCATCTGCAGCAGGACAAATCCATTTAAATAGCAACTTTAAAATATTGTGGAAGACAGACTAGGGCAGTGGGTGAGACACAGGAAAAATAGCCAACCTGTTAATTATGAGTTAATTCACATCAAAACTTATTTCAACCTGAGTTATTTGAGAACTAAACAGTCTTTTTGGCCAAGTTACTCCAGTTCTGAACGTGACTGGACTCTTGTGGGACTCTACCTCACTTCCTGTTTATTCAGTGGAATCAACTAAATTTATAGCATTTCCAGCATGGCAGTACTACTTTCAATGCCATATAATCTGTCACAGCATGCTGTAAAAGGAGAGATGTGTACTTGAAACCACAATTGCCCAAATTCCTTTCTGGGGATGGATGTCTCATGCCGATCTGCTTGGTAAAACCCTAAACCCATCCTGGTGTTTATGGCTTTTCCTCATACACTGTACTCCTTGTGAGCTGTAAATGGTCTACAAAGGGCTAGAATCTGACAAGGTCACCCAGGTGATACTTGGTGACTCAGTTTACCAGGGAATGGTCTGTGGAGTCAGTTGCAAAAGCCTCTGACTAGGATGCTGTGGGACACACACACACAAGTTAGTGGTCAGTAGTTGATTATGACTACAGAAAGTTTCCCACGTTTTCAGAAGGTTCTGATCTGCATGGCAGTAACACATTTTCAATAGGTGCTTTATAAATTTTTAGTTCCTAAATTACCACAAACTTAGGGGCTTCAAACAACACACATTTATTATTTCATTGTTTCTATGTGTCAGGAGTTCAGGCACACTTAATGGGCCCTCTGGTTCAAGGTTTCTCACAGGCTGCAATCAAATTGTTGGCTAGGGCTGGGTTCTCATCTGAAGGCTCAACTGGGAAATGATCTGCTTCCAAGTTCACTTAAGTTGTTGGCAGAATTTTAGTTCCTCAAGGGTTATTGGACTGAAGTTGTTGACTGTTTATTAACAAACTATTAGCCAGAGGCTTCCCTTAGTTCTTTGCTATATGGATCTCCCCAATATGGCAACTTTATTCATCAAAGCCAACAAGGATGACAATCTGATAGCAGAATGGAAGTTACAGTCTTATTTAGGCTAATCATGAGTAACCTCTCATACTTTTGCTGTATTGTTGATTAGAAGCAAGGGAGGCAGTTATACAAGGGCATAAATACCAGAAGGCAGAAATCATTGAATCATAGAACAGCATTTAGAATTTATCTGCCACAGTGCTCAGCTGAGGGAGAAAGGAAGGTCTTGGGTAAAAGGCAGTATTACAAAGTGGTTAAGTGTGGTGGCATTGAAATCGCAGATCTGAACTTGACTCAGCTCTGACAAAATAACTTCCCAACTGGTGTCTCTAGTTCCTCTGTCCTTTCTCTAATCCATTCCACATACAGTTATCAGCTTGATCTTTTGAAAACGCAAATTCCTGAACTCTGGACCAATTTCCTAACCACTGTAGCAGAAAAGAGAGCCCTGATTCAAAAGTAAACTTCCTTCTGTTCAATAAGGTGCGTTTCCCACACTGACTGCCAGGTAGTGCCATTGATCTTTACTGCTTATGCCAATTACCAAGCTTAGGGAAAGTTAGTGGCAATGGGTGACTAAGACCCATTGATTATATACATTGACTGTTCTTCACTCATCTACCCATCCAATCATTTCATAAGTATAAAGTGCCTTTTAGGTTCTGGAGAATAGCACAGGTAAGATGATGGAGGTCTGAACTAAGATAATGATGGAATGAGGTGCCATATTTCATCAATTGTAAGATGTACTTCTCTCCCACATTTTAAAATCTCTGAAGCCTGGATGCTTCTAAAAGTTGATGTTATAGTTTAAATGGCATAATTTTTTAAAATTAGAGCTACATAAAATAATGTGTCCTAATGGAGGCATCTTAGATTTGATGAAGTATGGCATTTTGGAAGTACAGCAGGTCCTCAACATTTCTTTCAACTCTTTTGTTAAAATGTTGATGAGATGCCATAGGAACTTAACTTATGTTTATATCAATTAGCATACAGTACAATCAGTTTTGTTATACATCATTTCACCTAAAGTCTCAGAATCCATTGATGACGTTAAGTGAGGATTTCTACCTTGTTAACGAATAACTAGAAGGATGAGTGAGAAGAAAGAATCTTAAATAATGCTTGAATTTCTCATTTGAATGTGTGGATGGTGAAGATGCACTCAACAAAATATGGAAGATGAAGTCATTCCTGATATTTTCCAGAATAATTAATAATCTTTATTTCCTTTCAATAATACGCTGTGCTGGTTCTATCCAGGTTCACTGGGTATGAGTAACAGCTGACTCTACCTCCCTTTCTCTACTCTAGGGTTTTAGAATGAGGGAAGGAGGGCTTACTATGTCCTTAACTTCTCAAGTTATCAGTCCACAAGCATTGAGAATATTGGAATTGTAGATACAAAGACGATAAATACTGTTTAGTGAGCTTTTATTCTGCCACATATATCCATTATGCTTTAATTTTTATATTATCCTCCATCTATGAGGTATATAGTATTCTTATTTTACAGAATGGAAACATCTCAGAGATTAAGCAACTGGCCTATGGTTATGCAGATAGAAGGTGGTAGAAGTTAGACAAAAACAGTCATGTTTGATTGAAGTCTGGCCATAACCATAACTGTTTTGGCAAATTAAGACAGTCCTAGAGGATCTCGATATAGAGGCATAGAGAAGTGAAAATATGGAAGTGCTAGAGTAAAATGTGTATATGGGGTACTACAGTAGTTCCCTTGAGTGTTTAGTGATGAGCCTGCAGAAGATGTATGTCAAGGTCCAGAGAAGTTAACAACCTAAGCTCACACAATCATAAACAATTGGGCACACACACACCCCACCTCCCACCCCAACTTCACAAGTTAGTCTCCTGACACATTTTAAAATACTCTAGGCCAAGCCCTTGCTTGGCCTGCTTTATTTTGCCAGGTGCTCTAATCCATTCCCTTAGTTTGAATTACCACTATGCTGCTGATTCGCATGGATGCCCAGCCCTGATCTCTCCCTAGAGTTTCATGCAGACTTGTCTATCCAAAAGCCTTACCTGACGTCATTACAAACTTAACATGTCCAAAACAAAAGTCTTGAGCTCTACCCAAAAACCTGTCTTGTCGCCAGTTCTATTTCCATCAGCACCTCTCATTGAGGCCAAAAACCTAAGTCATCCCTGATTCCATTTGTTTTTCCCACACCAATAGGGAAGTCCTCTTAGTTCTGTCTTCAAAATACATCCTAACTCTGTTTCCCACCACCTCTACTATCCCCTTAGTCCAAGCCACCAACATTTCTAGCCTAGACTAAGGCAGTAGGCGTCTAACTTGGCTCCCCTTCTCCATTCTCACCCTCTTTCATTTCGTCTTCACAGAGACTGTCAGCATCATCTTTTAAAATTATAAATCAGGTCACAACACCTCTATATAAAAATGATTCAAGAATTTCTCACTACACTTAGAATAATATCCAAACTTCTTGTGAGGGTACTATGTGATTTACCACCCTCAGCACTCACCATGTGCCTGCTGACCTTCCTGTTCTAACATACCAAGTTTGTTCCTGCTTCAGAGCTTTTACATTTGCTCTTCCATCTGCCTGGAACATTTCCTTCCAAGATACGGTTCTCATCATTTAGGCCCCTGCTCAAATATCATTTCATTGATGACCCCATCAGAAATACCAACTCTTCTCACATCAAAACCACTTCTGACCCTGATTTCTTTTCCATAGCACTTATCATGACTAGGCATCAATTGCCGTTCCCCCACACTTGAGTATAAGTTCTGTGAGGAGAGAAACAGTGCCTATCTTATTTACTGCTGTATCCTTCGCACCTAAAATAGTGCCTGGCACATGATAAATACTCTAATAATGAATGGATGAACATCTGGAGTTCTGCATGTACTTATATCCTGCAAAGGATCTCAGTCAATGTAGCTAATAGAAATATAACGTGACCCACGTGTGATTTAAATTCTTTTTTCATGCTAAGTGAAATAAGCCAGACAGAAAAAGTTGAAAACCACATGATATCACTTATATGTGGGATATAAACCTAAAAGCAACAAATGAACAGGACAAACAGAAACTCATGGACATGGACAATAGACTAGTGGTTACCAGAAGGTGGGGGAGGGGGCAGTAGATGGGGCAGAAGAGGTCAAATATGTGGTGACAGAAAGAAATCTAGCTATGGGAGGTGAACCACAATGTAAATATATATATGCCTTACTGTTAAAATGTACAGCTGAAACTTACCGGATTTCATTAACCAATGTCACCATAAAAAATAATAAATTTAAAAATAAAAATAAAATAAAAAATTTGAGTAGGTACATTAAAAAATAAAAAAACAGTTAAATTAACTTTAATAATACATTTTATCTAACCCAGTATATCCAAAATATTATATTTCAACAAATAATACTAAAAAATATTTAAAATTTTTTTTTTAACTGAGTATTCAAACTCCAGGGTGTATTTTACACGTACAGCACATCTCAATTTGGACTAGCCACGTTTTAAGTGCTCAAGAGTTAGAGGTGGCTAGTGGCTACCATATTAGCACAAGTGTCAATAGTCTAACCTTAATGTTCTTGTCCATCACTCCCTGTGATGTCCAGAACCAGAGGAAGTGAGAAACTCATGGCAGATGGGAAAGAGGGGCTTTCTTAGCTATCCCATCTTTTCTCCTTCTTCTGAAGGAAGCCTCAGAGATGTCCAGGCTAACAAATGCATGATCATGTCATCATCATTATCATAATAATAATAATAGTTTTTACACTGTGCAAAGCACTTCATAAAATCTCATTTTACAGGTTAGAAAATAAGTTCAGGAACACAAAGTAACTTGTTTAAATTTACACATCTGGTAAGTATTAGAGTTGGAATGTAGCTTGGTTAAAAGTTAAAGCTAATATTATAACCATTATGCTACAGTTTTTAATTCACCACTTTAATGGTCCATGTGGAATAAAATTAAAAGAAACCCAAGTGATAGAAAGAAGCCAACCTGATTCTTGGCTTGGACTCATAGTACACCTTTAGTTGCCTCCATCCTGGTTCTTCCTTTTAGTTTCTCAGAACCTTAGGTCTGACTTCGGTGTCAGACTGTGTTCAGGTCTCAGCTCCACTAATTATTAATGGCATAAACTGTGGTAAAATCAACTAATCTCCCATATCTTCTTCTGGAGAATTGGAATGCTAATACTAGCCTCAGAGGCATTTGGGGAAATCCAGTAAATGATAATAGTGTTTGTAAAGAGTTGAACATGGTAGTCAGTGACTAGTAGCCATTCAGGACACGATAGTTTCCTTCCTTCCTTCCTTCCTTCCTTCCTTCCTTCCTTCCTTCCTTCCTTCCTTCCTTCCTTCCTTCCTTCCTT